GTTTGTTAACACACAGCCAATTGAAAATTCGTTCTAAATCATCATTTGAAACTTTCTGCATTTGCTGAAAAGTTCTTACCTATAATACAGGGCGTAAACTTTATGATAGTCATTATTTAAATGGGTAATAGAGGTGGTTAAAATAAGCAAAAAGTTTCATATAACACGGCATTTTTTTAAAGATAAGCGACTTTAAAGTAAAATAAAATCTGACAACGCCGCAATACCAGACGCAGGTATTATTTCATTATTTGATAATGGGCTTCACCTGGTGTGCTACACCGTAAACTAACAACATGTCGCCGAACTTTTGATTCGAGAACATTGTAAATCAACACAACGGCGTATAACAATAACCAACCACTGTCACCGTTTGCGATCGATTACCGGTTCGATAAGAGTGATGAATGATCGACGCGCTGTTGTCATGTATGTTTTAAATATTTAATTTAATGAAACTTACTTACTGACTACAAATTTTGGCTTAACTTAGAAAAACTTAATTCCCTTTACTTGTTAATTACCCAATTTAAAAACGTTTTAGATTAGGATATAAAAATTAGTAAGATTGTTGTGATTGTGGTCGATATAACTTAAAGTTGTAAACTATAAAGCCATTTAGACAAAAATCTACCATGGGTCATATGAACTTTTTGACATGTTTTGACCCCCCCCCCCTATTACCCATTTCAATAATTACTACCATAACGTTTACACCCTGTATGTCAAGAATTATTAAAATCGGATAAACATACGTAGGTGATTACCTTTTTTTGTCACTGAGCATAAAACAACATGCTATTGTACATCTATTTTGAAAGAGTTTTCTGCAGATTCTACACTGTGATCGAAACGGAATTTGCGAAAATGCTTTTTTTCAAACATTCATTTTCAGTATTTGAAAACCTTCATATTTTGCTCTCCATGGACTTCGGTATTACAAAGCTTTATCGATATTTATTTGTTTTTAAGGTAGATAGAGGCAATTTGAAAACGATCCATATTCAACAGTTTTTTGAAATAACCTTATTATTATTAATATACAGGGTGTTTCAGTTTATTGTTGCATAACTTTAAGATTCGATAGAACCTTTAAAATTAATGCATAAAGTCTATATAAACATGGGTCGAAAAATGCGTGGCTTCCGAAATACAGGGTGTTTAAATTTACTTTCTAAAATAGTTCTTTTTAAATATTTCGAACAATATTTGATGTATAACAGTGAAAATTGGTATACAAGGGTTTTTTGGTACGACAAAACGAACCATGAGCATAGTTTTACTGTAGCTGCTAGAGGGCGCTCTCTACTGTACCTCTAGTGTATTAAAATGACCGAAAATTTTTTCTTAGTACAATTTTTTGCTTTTTGAATAAGACAACTGATTTTTCGCACTTTTCAACATAAAAAAGCTCTCTTGTAAATTTTCGTTATAGTTAGCCGTTTTTTAGATATATCGATTTTTAGGGTTCGATGCATTTTTAATTATTTATGGGAAAATAATATTTTTTTTACATTTTCGATTTGGGCATTACAAGTAATTAAGATGATCGTTTAGATTGTGTTTTTAAACACAGCAATAATTCCTAACTCCAAATAAACACAAAAAACAGAATATTAATTTGTTTAATTTTCCAATATTATTCTTAACAAATTAAATTAATTATTTACAACTGAAATGCTATTGGATAGTTAGGACAAACATACAAAATCTAAAGTAGTTGCTCGAAATGTAAACCCAATTATTCAATACACAATGCACATCTACGAATGATCGAACGTGGTATAGCATTATTCAAATAAGGCCTTATTTCATCACATGCATTCCTGATTCTGTCTATTAGCATATCTTTTGTGGTTACGGGAGTCTGGTACACTTTTTCTGTTAGAAATCCCCACACAAGAAATCTAATGGATTTAGGTCAGGGAATCGTGAAGGCCAGGCGACTGGTCCTCCACGGCCGATTCATCTTTCTGGATAATGTTCGTCCAGCCAATTTCTAACTATTCTCGAATAATGAGCTGGACAACCATCAAGCTGGAACCAGACCAATCTTCTTAAATCTAATATAACATCATCCCACATATTTGCATGTTCAGCCTTTAAAAATTCCAAGAAGGTCGCAGCATTTAACCTTGCAGGCAAAAGGTAGGGTCCAAATAGTCGATTACGGTAGATACCAATCCACACGTTCACACTAAATTCATGCTGAAAATTTCTTTCCCGAACTGCATGCGGATTTTCATGCGACCAAATATGTTGATTATGAAAATTTACCACTCCACGTCTAGTGAAGCATGACTCATCGGTCCATCAAACGTTACTTAAAAACTCCCTATTATTATCAGTTCTATCAAAAAAATCCGCTGACAAAATGTGATTCTTCGTTCTCCGTCCCCTGGCTGTAGTCCTTGCACAGGTTGCAAATGGTAAGGACGTCTATGGTCATTTCTAAGAACATGGTGAACATGGCTTGCTGAAATTCCCAAGGCACCAGAAACTCTCCTAACACTTGTGGTCGGATCCCTATCAAACTCACGCAGAATCATACGGGTAAATCTGCGCTGACGAACATTTATGTTTTGATCCCTTTGGAGATTTCCAAAACCATTTTCAATTATTTGGCAATGCACTCCTACAAATACTAAGCGAGTTGGATGTCGTCTGTTTGGAAATCTTCGTGCGTATTCTCTTGCTGCTTCTGCTGCGTTTCCATTTACAAAGCCATGCACAAAATGAATATCCGCTCTTGATTGTAGAATAAAAATGGCATTTTTATAAAACTTACAAAAAAAACAGGTAAAAGAAACTAAATTTCGTGCATTCACAATTGCAAAAAAACGTTTCAGGTTTCAACAGACAACAAAACTAACTGTCAACTAATTGACGTTTAACCTGATTCTGCTTTCAATTCCAAAAGTATTTGCAGGCACAGCCTACTTCTAAAAATTATCGAGATACTGACTTTTTAACGTTATTTTATCATGAATAATTGAAAATGCATCGAACCTCAAAATCGAAATATCTCAAAAACGGCTAACTATAACGAAAATTCACAAGAGAGCTTTTTTATGTTGAAAAGTGCGAAGAATCCGTTTTTTTTTATTCAAAAAGCAAAAAATTGCACTAAGAAAATTTTTTCGGTCATTTTAATACACTACAGGTACAGTAGAGTGCGCCCTCTAGCGGCTACAGTAAAACTATGGCCATGGTTCGTTTTGTCGTACCAAAAAACCCTTGTATAGCAATTTTCACTGTTATACATCAAATATTGTTCGAAATATTTAAAAGAAACTATTTTAGAAAGTAAATTTAAACACCCTGTATTTCGGAAGCCACGCATTTTTCGACCCATATTTATATAGACTGTATGCATTAATTTTAAAAGTTCTATCGAATCTTAAAGTTATGCAACAATACACTGAAACAACCCTGTATTGATTGGCTTTGGTTTCACAATATCTGTAATAAAGAGCCTCCTTATAAAAAATGGATTATCCAACGCTACATCCTATCGAAAGAAGAACTTTCTGGTATATCAAAAGAACATAATATCTCAATTTCTAAAATAAAAAATGCTTCCTCGCCAGATTTGGCATAGGAAGTAAAAATCACGGCACTTGATTCGACCTCATCAAAAAAGCGTGTACGTTCATTCATGAAGATCATTTCGATGTTTGTAAACATCACAAAAAGTGTTCCCCCTTAACGCTCTTTAGGAAAAACATATCAGCTCGCACCTGGTGACACTAACAGTCTAAAAGATACATAAAAACACAAGATCTTTAAAAAAACGTAAAATACGATCTGAAAAAATAATAAACTGTCCTAAACCGAGTAGGAGCGAGTGCCAGTTGTGATAATTAGGATATCGGAGGTGTCTATATTTAACCTCTAACCCCTGTCAATGATGCATTTGGGGATTAGGTGCTGGGATTCTTGACAGCTGCGCGCCACTCGCACGTTTCTAGTTCGAGGTTCGGGGCCGCCGCAATTCATCCAGCGGGCCATGATTGTTTTGTTAATTCATTAATTTCGAGGAGGCGGATAGGCACAGGGTCGGACTCTGGGTAATCTGATGACGCACCCATTAGAGCAGCGGTTCCCGCCTTTTTCTTTCTGCGAACCCCTTATAAAAATTGGAATATATCGGCGAACCCCCTGAGCAGTAAATAAATTATTAATCATATGAATAATAGTTATAATGAGCAGAGTAAATTAAAACATAACTGTAACGTAAAACGTTATTAAAACTAACTAAGCCTTACAAAAAAACGATTAATATAATATGAATACAAGTAATTCGATACTAGCAAAATTTCTCAATGGGATACTTGTGCCTGTTTGTTGGAATAAAGAAATCGAAAATTTGGTTCAATGTCTGATCGGGTTCTGTATTTAAACTATTGCTGTACTTTCCTTTGAGATAAGTGTATGTTGAAAATGCTTTCTCACACAGTTACGTTGTGCAGAACGGTAACAAAATGTTCATGGCTTTTTCTGCTGAGATAGGGACCTCATGTTTTACATTAAAGAATGATCTGCTAAAACAGTTTTTAGAGAATTGTCAGAGGATAAATCAATGAGCTTTTCTTTTTCAATAAAGATAAAGAAGTGTTAGAAATTATATCTCCGGGGGTCGTTCAAGTATTACGTAAGCAGATTTATTACAATTATTTACCCTCCCATCCCCCTTGTCAGCAAAAGTAAGCAAAGCTCTTACCCCCTCCCCCCATGCTTACGTAAACATTTGTCAATTAATGTATTGTTTTTTTTAATATTAAAATTATAACGTTATAACTATAATTTGAAAAATAAGAAATTTAGGATAGAGATTATATTTTACTGATACGGTATTTAAGTATAGGACAAAATATTATATCTTACTAACATAACAAACTTACTTTAAATTTTTGGTACATATATTAAATTCAAATTAACAGTCTTCAGTCCATGAAACCCGAATCCATGATTCAAGTTTTCGATGTCATTCAGGATCGCTTCGATTGCTGCTCAGTGTTGTGAGTTTGCTCGCTTTCATCGGATTTTGGAATGTCTACGTCGTTCTCATCGAGCCATTCAACATCATGGTGCTCTAAATTTTTGACTAATGCACATCACTTCATTAGCCCGACGAGCAGCGACTCTTACAGGTCTAACTTTCCTGTCAGTGTTCGTGTTTACTTTTTTATGGATATTTTCGATGTGACGATTTAGTGACTTGACGGAAGCATGATAAAGACCACACGTTTTGCATGTTCGACTTGATAGCCTCAATTTTACCAGCGGACAAAAATAAACGTAGGGCATTTGCAGGAAATCTTTGAGTGAAGCACTTAAGGGTAGAGCTAAATTGACTGGAAGATTAAGAAATTGTCCTCCTTCATCTAAAACCCAGTCATCAACTGTTTGTTTTACTTTTACAGGTGGTGGAAGAAACCTATTGTCTAGTAATCTAAATAGGCCACTTCTTGGACGAAAGCATTCTGTATTTCTACATTTTACAATTTGAAGCAAGTATCGGCTCTCACGCACATGTTCTAAATACCATTTAATGTCTGGAAAACCAGGAAGATCTTGTTCACCTACCCCAACATATTTTGCATTAACATTATAGCCATCAATTTCCATTGATCTCCATACTTCAGCTAATACATTTCCTGCAAATTCGAAATTAGATCTTTCTAAATGTTCATCAATTGTAACGCCACGTTCATCCAAATGAGACCCAAAATGGTTATGAGGCAATATTAAACCAGCCAGTTCCCGACTAAGAGGAGCCATTCTGCGCTCTACTCTGTTATACGCACTTCTTCCAGGAGCATTGGTAGCTAAAAGCAATGCATCGACATCATGTCGCTTAAAGTGTTGTATAGCAAACCCTATGACTTTTTGATAACGTGGATTTTCATCTGGCCCTCCATCAACCGTCATGATTACCACTGGTTTTACTAGTGCATGGTCAGTTTTAGCTAATAGTCGAAACTCGTCAAGTTCAAGAAGCGTCTCGAAATCCTGAGCATGAGTATTAGCAGCAGATGAAGTATGCTTTCCACTTCGAATAGCGATGTATGTTGGTCCAGAATATCCAACGGCTTGCGGTTGTCCTAGCATATTGGAAGTGATTTTGATACCAGCATAAACAGATGGTATTAATTTATGACGCTCAGCGATTACCCAATCGTGATCAGGCAATTTGATTTTATATTCCATGTGCATTAGAAGAGGTGCTTGCTTATTCGCCGCAGTTACGCCAATAGGGACTCCAGCTTTATCATCTTGAGATATGAAAAATACTTGATCTGGTCAATGTATGCGCTGCAAATTGATTCCGTTCGTCTTCTATCATCTGCTGCCCTCCCAAATAAAGCTATATCCGCGATTGTTTTCAACAGTGAATGTTGATTGCTTTCAAGATTAGGACGTCCCACTGAATCCCTCAGAGATAGTTTTTTTATTTCTTGATTTCAAAATGATTGCATATCCAGTTGTTTCATCAAGGTTTATTAGGAAACTACTGTTTGAACGTTAATTGAAGCTGTTTGAGATGTTCAGTAATCTCTCTTTTAATGTTTTCGCTAAGTTGAATTTTATTCTCTGATAAAAAAGGATGTTGAGAGAATCAAAACAATCGTACTCATTCATCTGCAGACAGTGACTCCAAAAGTTGAACTTCTTTAGCATGGCTTCTATTCTATCATGAACATTGAAAATGGTGATTCCTCAAAACCTGAACAATAATTTCCAAGTTATAGGAGTAGCAAACATATAGATCGACAGCCTGTTAAAAAAACATAATAACCCATGTTCGAAATGTTTGATATATATATATACAGGGTGTTTCAGTTTATTGTTGCATAACTTTAAGATTCGATAGAACTTTTAAAATTAATGCATAAAGTCTATATAAACATGGGTCGAAAAATATATATAGTTTTTTTTAAATATTTCGATCAATATTTGATGTATAACAGTGAAAATTGGTATACAAGGGTTTTTGGTACGACAGAACGAACCATGGGCATAGTTTTACTGTAGCCGCTAGAGGGCGCTCTCTACTGTACCTGTAGTGTATTAAAATGACCGAAAAAAATTGCTTAGTGCAATTTTTTGCTTTTTGAATAAAAAACTGATTCTTCGCACTTTTCAACATAAAAAGCTCTCTTGTGAATTTTTCTTATAGTTAGCCGTTTTTGAGATATTTCGATTTTTAAGGTTCTATGCATTTTTAATTATTTATGATAAAATAACGTTAAAAAGTCAGTATCTCGATAATTTTTAGAAGTAGGCTGTGCCTGCAAATATTTTTGAAATAGAAAGCAGAATAAGGTTAAACGTCAGTTAGTTGACAGTTAGTTTTGTTATCTGTTGAAACCTGAAACGTTTTTGCAATTGTGAATGCACGAAATTTAGTTTATTTTACCTGTTTTTTTTTTGTAAGTTTTATAAAAATGCCATTTTTATTCTCCAATCAAGAGTTAGCGGATATTCATTTTGTGTATGGCTTTGTAAATGGAAACGCAGCAGAAGCATCCAGAGAATACGCACGAAGATTTCCAAACAGACGACATCCAACTCGCTCAGTATTTGTAAGAGTGCATCTCCAAACAATTGAAAATGGTTTTGGAAATCTCCAAGGGGATCAAAACTTAAATGTTCGTCAACGCAGATTTACCCGTATGATTCTGCGTGAGTTTGATAGAGATCCGTCCACAAGTGTTAGGAGAGTTTCTGGTGCCTTGGGAATTTCAGCAAGCCATGTTCACCGTGTTCTTAGAAATGACCATAGACGTCCTTACCATTTGCAACCTGTGCAAGGACTACAGCCAGGCGACGGAGAACGAAGAATCACATTTTGTCAGTGGATTCTTGATAGAACTGATAATAATAGGAAGTTTTTAAGTAACGTTTTATGGACCGATGAGTCATGCTTCACTAGACGTGGAGTGGTAAATTTTCATAATCAACATATTTGGTCGCATGAAAATCCGCATACAGTTCGGGAAAGAAATTTTCAGCATGAATTTAGTGTGAACGTGTGGATTGGTATCTACCGTAATCGACTATTTGGACCCTACCTTTTGCCTGCAAGGTTAAATGCTGCGACCTTCTTGGAATTTTTAAAGGCTGAACATGCAAATATGTGGGATGATGTTATGTTAGATTTAAGAAGATTGGCCTGGTTCCAGCTTGATGGTTGTCCAGCTCATTATTCGAGAATAGTTGGAAACTGGCTGGACGAAAATGATCCAGAAAGATGGATCGGCCGTGGAGGACCAGTCGCCTGGCCTCCACGATCCCCTGACCTAAATCCATTAGATTTCTTTGTGTGGGGATTTCTAAAAGAAAAAGTGTACCAGACTTGTAAATAATTAAAAATAATTTTTGTGTTTATTTGGAGTTAGGAATTATTGCTGTGTTTAAAACACAATCTAAACGATCATCTTAATTACTTGTAATGCCCAAATCGAAAATGTAAAAAAAAATATTATTTTCCCATAAATAATTAAAAATGCATCGAACCTTAAAAATCGAAATATCTCAAAAACGGCTAACTATAACGAAAACTCACAAGAGAGCTTTTTTATGTTGAAAAGTGCGAAGAATCAGCTTTTTTATTCAAAAAGCAAAAAATTGCACTAAGAAAATTTTTTCGGTCATTTTAATACACTGCAGGTACAGTAGAGAGCGCCCTCTAGCGGCTACAGTAAAACTATGCCCATGGTTCGTTTTGTCGTACCAAAAAACCCTTGTATACCAATTTTCACTGTTATACATCAAATATTGTTCGAAATATTTAAAAAAAAACTATTTTAGAAAGTAAATTTAAACATAAACTGAAACACCCTGTATATATATAATACAATATAATAAATTACTGTTCAATCGTTGAGAGCTTCATGACAGTTCAATCAAAAGTACATCATCCGGCTCTATATCAGTAACATTTAAACCTATTCTCGAAAACTACTATTTTAGTTTTGACTGAACCCATCTCTGTCTGCCAGATTTGTCCGTTTCCGCTCAAAGTCACGTGCACCAGTAAGAATTAAGGACATTTATAAAGCATAAACATAATTAATTTAAGAAACCTAATGATGGTTCGATAAAAAAAACTATGGATCTACATATACCACAATAATAATTTATTACCTCGAAAAAGCTGAGCACTATGTTTTAGACGTGGTTCAAGTTACAACAACATAGATCAGTAAAATTATAATCAAATACGTACAAAATATTTGCGAATACTGTGAATTCTTCATGAACTCCGAAGTTTCTCAAAAGCACGACCTCTGAGGGATACAAAATGTTCACTTCAAATATATTTCGAGTTAATAAATGAAAGACGACCAGATAAAATTTGAAGGACACTTGATATGTTGGATCGGGAAGATTGAGATTTAAGTCGTTTGTTTCAGAGTTTAGTCAGTCTATTTACTCTTCTTCTTATATAGGGTGGCGTATCGACAACGAAACACGCATTTACTGGCAGCTTAGTTTTTTTTTTTGGAAAAAACGCTCAGACCCGTCGATTTTGTTTTTGAGGGGGACACAAGTTTGGCAAAAAATCACGTTAACACGTGCAGCCCACTGGGCGGGGGTGACACCAACCCTAAAATCTTAAATGGAAAGGGGGGTCGAGTGATACCTTATTTTAAAGGTCCTTCAATTCCCTTTATAATGATGTAAAATACATGAGCTTCAGTTCAGTAGTTCTGAAGATTTATTGATTTAAAGCTTAAAGTAGACTTTAATAGGTTCATCAGATTAGTTTGTACTACTTTCAGAAGAAATTTGACTAAAAGAATTTACTTAATAGGTAAATGCTTTTCTTCACTTATATAAAATATGACAAGACAAGTTTTCTAAATAATTTTTAATCTGTTTTTAACTTGTCTTGTCATATTTTATATAATTTTGAACATTGTACCATGTATCCAGCTCTCACCATGTTACTGGACGTTTCCCTCATCCTATACGTAAACAACAATTAGCAACATCCTCACATACTACTCTCCTGATGATGATGGCAAAGTCCATTGAAAGCTAGAGAGAATTAAAAAAAAGTATAAAGAGTCCTCTTTGCTTACATTGTGTCGAAGTACCCAACAAAAGGCGGAAGCTTTAATTTTTCACCTATATATATATATATATATATACTCGTATATATAGACAGGGTGACTTCGAAGTTGAGTCATTTATTTTAACAGTGAGTAGATCTGATCAAAAGAAATGTTTTTTTCCTTTAACATTTTTCCGGTAAAATTAAATCAACAAAGTTACAGCCCTTTAGAAGTTTGAGTACCGGCCTATCTCAATAATAATATTATGTGCTCGTGTTTGGCAACAAAGGATATAATCCGCCTTATCTGTTCATCGCATCGGAAACAAAGAAGCGAAAGAATTTGAA